CTGTGCATATTTCTCTCCTGATTTAGATAAGACAACGTTTTTACTGGAGAAAGCAATATTATGGATAGAGGACTCGTATTTTAGTCAGAAGCAGCGTTTCAAAGTTAAAAAGGTGTTGATGGATTTGCTTATTATAAACACACAACTTTTTGATTCACAAGACATTAACTGATGGACTGGAGTGGTGTGGATTACTTGTGGATTATTACTTATTGTTTTTTAGATATTTCCAGTGGAAAAGTCCATCCTTTGTTATCCTCTCACATCAAAATACATGCACTGACATATTTGTCTAGAACTGTTCTGGACTTTTTTTTCTTTTGATCTGTGCATATTTCTCTCCTGATTTAGATAAGACAACGTTTTTACTGGAGAAAGCAATATTATGGATAGAGGACTCGTATTTTAGTCAGAAGCAGCGTTTCAAAGTTAAAAAGGTGTTGATGGATTTGCTTATTATAAACACACAACTTTTTGATTCACAAGACATTAACTGATGGACTGGAGTGGTGTGGATTACTTGTGGATTATTACTTATTGTTTTTATCAGATATTTAAACTGCATTAAACTGTATTAAATGTTCTGACGGCACCCATTCACTGCAGAAGATCCACTGGTGAGCAAGTGATACATTCCTAAATTTCTCCAAAACTGTTCTGATGAAGAAACAAACTCATTTACATATTGGATGGCCTGAGGGTGAGTACATTTCAGCACATTTTCATTTTAGGTGAACCATTGCTTTAATGTTTTTTTTTCTTCTGGTAATTAATGCAATGTACTGTGTGCATGGTTAATCAAACACAATATCAAGCTTCCAGCTTTAGAGGAGAGGGCAATGCAAGAAAAAGACAAATCATGCAAGCAAAGACATGCAAGCAAATCAATCTCCAGATACAGTACAAGAAACTAAATTCCATTAATGTAGTCACAAAGTGAGAGTTGTTCCAATCACAAAGAGGGGCAATTACCTGTGTTACATTAGTTAAAGAAACCTGAGAGACAGTGAGGGAAATAAACCATCCTTTATCCCATCTCTATATATGAGATATTCCCATCTTAGTTGGGAAAGAACAGGCTATTTCAAATCCAAGTCTAAAAACCTGGCTGGAGTGTGTTGGGGGGTTATAACAAGTTCACAGTCAGCCAGGCACAATTCATCATCTAGACTGTGTGCACACACACACAAACACACACACACACACACATATATATATATTTATTGAGATGCACCTGTGTGTGTGTGTGTGTGTGTGTGTGTGTGTGTGTGTGTATACACAAAATAATATTCATATCTTCAAAACAGTGCCCAGAATCAGTTTATCTATGTCTCAATTGCTCAGTGGCACCAAAACACAGGTATTTGATGACAGATGGATAAGCTGATAATAGTTTTGCTGCTGATTTATGATTCCAGGGATTTCTTGGCATCTTTTGGGGTACTTAAGTATAAAGCTGGTGATATTTTTCAGTGGGAACCTGGCTTTGCTGGGCTATTGTTTGAGAAGTCACAGAGGAAGAGGAAGATACGGTTTTAAAATATGAAAGTATGGTATAGGGTGAACAAATCTCATCCTTTCTTGTCCTAGCTTTCTAAATTGCCACAAATGTCTGGGTTTTGGCTTTGCTTTGCTATTGTCTTCTTGACTTGACTTTTTCAAGGTATTGACTTAAAAGTTTGACCAATAGCATGCAGGCATGCTACAACAAAACAAAAACTGCATTTTTAAAAGCAGACACTTTTGTAGGTTAAAGAGTCTATGTTGTGCAAGCTGCTGTGAGACTGCTATTATTATTTGCATTATGGTCTTCTGAGTTCATTTAAAACTGCATTCTTAGGAAAAAAAGGTGTGTCCAAATGACCCATTTTGCAAAATGTTCTAATTCTTTTGCATCTTAATCATCAAGCAAGTCAATCATCAAGTAAGTGCACAGTAGTTATTATGCAATGTATGACATTTTGGCATAATAATTGTGCATGTGTCATTTTTCAACAGTAGGTACAGATCCTTGGCAACAGAAACAACAGCAGCCCTATTAACCGGGTCAGATATGTTTGCTTTAGTGTGAGCAAATATTTGACTCACTCTATAGTTTGCTAATAACCAAAAAAATACTGTTATGTAACCTTAAGAACAACACTTTCTACAGGCTACAAAACATTTAGGCTAACTTTGTCAAAACATGCACATATGTAAGACACATGATAAAGTTATCAGTATCTTACCTGCCATAGATGAAACGTTGATGATAACCCCTCCTTCTTTTCCGTACTCTTTACTCATGTGTTCTAGTGCTAAATATGTCCCCTGTATGACAGATGTCTGAGGAAGACAACAGTTGTGTAAAACTGCTAGCACACAGTGAACAGATGTTTTCTATGAGAGTGAGATTGTTGACATTGACTGGCTATTATGAACAAACACATTATTATACTGCATTATGTCCATTATGAAATCACTCTGCAGAGCATGATTGATTTAAAAGATCTAAATTATTTCATACAGCACATATGTAGGCCTACAAGTGCCATATAATGGTGTTCCTTCTACTTCATGTACTATTGTGAAATCTTTTGGACTGGAGGCAGGGGGTGGAGTATTTTTAGTGAATTTGTAACTCCTATCCTGAAGTGTGGTTGAATGTTGTGCCCTAAAGCACCAAACGTCGTCCACTCTTAGCATGTGTCCAATGATATGAGGTTAAGTTTAAATGCAAGAGTTTGGCATGACCTATCCATTTTTTTTTCTCTGTCTCTTACAGGTTGGATTTCAAGCATAATGATTTTTAACTCACCAAATTTACTTCAATGGTCTTTTCCCAGTTCTTCTCATTGTTGATTCCAGCATTATTGATGACGATATCCAACCGACCAAACTTCTCTACTGTGTTTTGAAAGGCATCTAATGAAAGAAAACCCAGCAGGGTTTTCATTTATAATAAGAAATAGCAATGTTTTAATAGTGCTACTTTTGACAGCAGTACAAAGTGGCTGTGCATTCAAACCAAATGAGCAGTCCTGCTAGTCAGTTCACTAGGTTTTGAAACACAGCCAGTGTCCGTCTGCATGTGCCTTCACCTGACTTGCAGCTGCAGCATTCCACAAAGAAACATTTAATTAAACTCTTAGGTAAGTGTGTCTTTAGAAACAAGTTTAACAGGAATGAACAATCCCTTCACCACCGACCCATAAACTCTTGTCTTGAAGAAATAAAGCAGCCTAACAAAAGGCTACACATTTAGTGTTAAAACTTCACACACACACACACACAAAAAACAGTAACATTCCTCAGTGATGACCTGAGGGCCCATGAATGTCTAGTATGACCTAATTCACTTCCCAAACAATGAGACATTGTTTAGGAATAAGATGCGCTGTACATACAGGTGCGCAATATAAAGTGGATAATTGTTTCGTTCTAAGAAATCTATTTCAAACTGTGCCAAACTAGACAGATATTATACATTTCCTAACAAAAAGGATAAGTAAAAGAAAGTTGTACCTCTAAGTTTTCCCGCGTCAGTCACGTCACATTGGATAAAAATACAGTTATCCTCTCCAAACTGGCCATCTAGATCACTTTTACATTCTTCTCCCACAGATTGGTTCAGGTCTACCAGTGCAACCTGAATTTTCAAAAAGTACATTAATAACGTAATGCTAAAACAAATAATTAAATGAAGACGCAACGATGCATGATGAAATAAAAGATCATCGCCCCAAACAGGCAACTGAACTAGTTATAAAGACGTTTTGCACAAGTTTTCCCAACAGTTAATTGGATTAATCCGCGAAGTCCATTATAAAAAGAAATTTGGCAAAGCGAAACCTTCGCCCCGTTCTCCAGGAGATGTTCCACCCCGGCTCTTCCGATGCCTTGCGCGCCGCCGGTGACCAGAGCCACTTTCCCGTGGACACTCATGCTGCTCACCGCCGAGCGCACCGCGCAATGCTTTATGTAGGTGTACAGTCAGAAGGGGGCGTGTAGATAAGTATTACTACAGTAAACACAGACGGCCAAGTGTCGTTTTACAAACTGACATTTACACCAAAGAGATGATTACTAACAATTTTGTGAGCGCTCCGCGCGTTCGTTCTTTAGTGCCCTCGGCGGCAGTCGAACAGTGTACAAGTACACACACGTGGAGTGAGTAAAATGAACGCACCTAAATGAACAAGAGACAACGGATGCTTTTATAAACATCTTTATTTTTTCAGTCTTTCTCAGAGGGCTCTTCAGTAAACATATGAAAAGAACTTTACGCTTTACATTACAGCGTTTATGTTAACGCAGCCTATTTACTGACAGCCTAATTTAAAATAAACACAAACGTATTTTGTGTTGCAAAATTGTAATACATTTCGTTAGTGTTATAACTGTTCCGTTAGCTATATATACTTGTGTAACACGGACACTGTAAAGTAGTCTAAAAGTGGCCAGAAGTATTTACAGATGTACACAGAAGAACATACGCGCCTCACCTCTTATAATAGCAGCGAGAACATTGACTGCTGGTCCAATTCACACTGAAAATGAAGTATAACATACTTGAGTTCATGCATAACATTTAATAATGTTTGTACAAAAGAAATTACAAATGCTCTTGCATTATACTGTAAATGTCCATGAACTTCTTGTGTCCTTTCCATGATGAAGAAATAAACTTCACATAATGTGCCAAATGCTGATGTCAGATAGTGTTCAAAACACAGCAGCACTGCTCTATTTACTCTTAGGAATGTGTGAGACTAGATATGCTTTGATCATTTGTATGGCACAGTTTTTCAGCAGATACTTTTGAAAAGAAAAGACATTTCACCCAGACAAGGGACAAAAAAAAGGTCTAAGAAGGTCTGGTCCCAGTATTTGAACAGTGTTTATAAGTGAACAGATAATTCTTAATTTCGACAATATAAATATTGATAACATTGATAAATACCAATTCCAAGTACACATTTTCCCATGACATGTTTTTAAATATATTTGCAATACCTTAGGGATATCTTCAGAGGCAGAATTAAATATAATTCTCTTTTAGTATAATTTAATAATGTCTATTCAGAATTCATAGTTATACAATCACCATACATGCAGTCAGATTAGTTTAAAACCACTCTAATTATGTTCATAATAATGAATCTCATTTACATTTTTTTCGCATTACATTTTTTTGACTGAGGACTTGTCTCAGAAAACTCATTGACTGCAACATTATCCTAACAAGCCCTCCTTGAATTTATTTCTCCATCCATGAATTTGCAACACATGTGTGACATTATTCACTCCCAGCCGCATTATATTGCCGTGGCATCATTAGTTTGAAGTGAGCAATGGTTTTCGAACAATACGGCTTTTGTTTGAGGAAAAACTTGAAGGATGGTTTCAATTTCTTAATGGGTACTGACAGTACGCTACCCATTAAAGTTTTCAAAATGTGTTTCCTTGAAGCAGTTAATGTTAAGGTGTTCATATAGTTGGCTGTAAACACAATTGTCTTCTTTGCTGGTTCAGGGTCATTCTTGAGATTTAGCTCAGAATGTTTTTGGCCTGGATGCTGGTTTCTAGAGCTGGTCAACAATCAGGTTGGGACAAAATGTTCGGGGACACATTACTGCTAATAAAAACTAGGTAACTCTTCCTTATAAAATAATCAATATTAGTAGTTTGTGTTTGGATATCTGTATAATATACATTTCTGCTCTTGCACTCTTGCCATTTTTCAATAGATGTATATCAAAAATACAACACAGAACATTGGCAATAAAGCTGTAAGACAACAGAGTCGACAAAACCAGTGCAAGACACGCATATGTCACTACGAGGGGCTGTAGTCACTATTGGACTGTGTTTCTGTGTTAAACAGGTGTGTAGAAGTGCTGACCACTTTTGTTGTGGGACAGGTGTGTCAGAGGCCCTACGGATACCTATCCATTGCATAGTGAGTGCAGTGTCTTCGTATGGGTGTATAACACAAACAAACTATTGAAATTAACCACCGGTCCTTGACATCACAGTTTTTCATAGTCATTTTAGCATAGATCTTGGCAGGAAACATCAGAGTTCATTGATGCAGCTTTGCTGTGTTACAACCGTACCTCCCAAGGTGCAACACGCCATGTTCCATCTATGGCTTGTGCACGTCCTCGTGACGTAGGATTTTGTAAAGGACCCAATAGAAAATATTGAAAAACAGGAAGGCCAGTGGGAATCCGGCACGGGACACAGTGTCGATCTTCTTGGCTCGGTCGATGAAGAGTTTCCTCATCTCCTCATGACTCTTGCCGGCAGTAAGGGTTGGGTCAGAGGGTGTTGTGGCCGCATTATTAGCAGCTTTGGGCACGGCTCCGTCTTTCCCTGCATTGGGCGTGAAGCTCAACCGGCTCTCCTGCACATCCTCCTCCTTAGAAAAAGGATAGGATACAGAAAGAGAAGCAATCAAGACTCTAGCACTCCTACATTCACTGAACCTGTTGCTTCCCTTTTAGGAAATTCTGTGATATAAGATAATAATGTGAACAATAAATGACAGTATTAGCACTTAGTTTTTATAATGTCCCTAACATTTTAAATGATTTATGGGGAGTTTCTCCCTTACTATTGCATTGCTAGCCAGCAAATGTTAAACCTCAGTCAAAGTAAAATGTACAAAAATACATTTAAATAAAAAAAAGTCTTGATTTGCAAAGATAATTCGCATTTTCTTCTGTTGTCCACGATGATTTCAGACAAATATAGAAGACTTTGGTGGAAAAAGGAAAATTGTTTTGGTAGAACTTGAAATTAAACCCATAAAACACATGCTTTAAAACACAAGTCTCTTATGCTCACCAAGACTGCATTTATTCGATCAACAACACAGTAAAAACAGTAATATTGTGAAATAATATTACAATTTAAAATAACTGTTTTCTATTTGAATATATCATAAAATGTAATGTATTCCTGTGTTAGCCATGCTGAATTTTTAGCAGCCATTATTCCAGTCTTCAGTGTTGAAATCTTTCTGCTCACACTTTATTTTAAGGTCCAATTCTCGTTATTAACAAACCATTAACTACAACCTTTGCCTCAATAAACTCCTAATTTGCTGCTTATTAATAGTTAGTAAGATTTAGAAGTTAGAAAGATTTAGGCATTGGGTAGGATTAGGGATGTAGATTAAGGTCATACAGAATATGTACTTTATAAATACTAATAAAGAGCCAATATGTTAATAATAAGCATGCAAATAAGCAGCTAGTTAATAGTGAGAATTGGTCCCTATACTAAAGTCTTACCATCTTTCTATATTTTTGCAGCATATTTTGATTTGCTGATTTGCTGTATAGCACTTCCCCCCATGCGTATGTTAAATTTATTAACCTAAATGTATTAGTATGTAGACATTTACTTCCATAAAAGTTATTTTATTATAAATTGAGGCTTACTGTAAAAAGTAAGGTTCTAAAAATGGAAACAATCATATAACACTTATATCATATGAATCCATAATCATATGATTCATAAAATACTCAAATGGATGTTTTAATATTGACATTATGATCACTACTTATCTGAATGTTAAAATAATGTGACATACTGTTTCATGAGGGCTGAACCTGAATGAACATGGACACATGATAGGGAAGTTGAGTGACTGTATAATGAACTCATCGGTCAAAGGCATGGACAGAGATGAAGTGCTGTGCTCTCTCTTTACCCTGTCATTGGATTCGTCGAGTTGGCCCATTGATCCGTAAACTGGCTCGGCACTGCGTAGGCCATTGATACGACGCAATGACTCGGTAAGCTCCTCATCAAATGTTTGATCGAAAGGCTTTCAGCACAGCAGGGGGATCGAAGAGAGAAGGAAACACAAAGCATGCAAACTAATAAAATATAATGGCTCTCCACATGCAGGATATCATGCAATGTAAATAAATAAATAAATATTAACCAATAAGTGGCATTCAAAAATAATAGTATGGGCATGTAAAAGAAATGAAAATCCATAAAAACAAATGTGTAGGCCTATTATTCTGAAATCAAGTGTTTTCATCTCAGAATGCAGCAACCAATATTGTGGCTGTGCCTAAACTGCTTGCCCATGCATTTTACAATGTCCTTTGAACTTAATGCACCTTTTTCTCTCTGAAAACTGTCAGAATATTCCATTGGCTAAGCTTCATATCATGAAGTCAGTAATATTCCAGCTCCACAGTGCCAGGGGAAACAACATCCCTGGCCACGTGCAATATTATGTATATAAACATACCTAAATATCAGTCTGGCCTTTGTACTGTTTAACAGGCTTCTTCTGCCTTGAAATAATGCCATGAAATATGTTTGGTTAGTTGCTAGCTATGCCATAAGGATGCACTGAATACTTCTGTCCTCTAGAAGGCAGTGTTGTATATGTGTAGGCCTAACAGTGTAGTGGGTTGTGTGATTCCAGTGTAAATGACTCTAGTTGATTATTTCAACTGATAGATGCAAATGACTACATTTTACTGTGTTATATAATCAACCACATATTAATAGCCATATAACAACATAATCAAATGATAAACCAGTGTTCATTTCCAACCTTACATGTTTTTCAAACTTAACATCATTACTCCTAGCATCACATCAACTGAACATGCCTGCCAAAACATGCACATTCAATCCATTAAACTGTGTGTTTAGAATTTATCTGAGCAGAGTCGAAAAGGCGCAGAAACTCTGTCAGTATCCCAATCATCTGCTTCACTTACTGTCAAGTGACAGTTTCCCTCAAGGGGTAAACTTCTTCCCTTAGGATTTCCAAATGTACTTTTTGTTTTAGTGCTGTGAATGCTATTGGGTTCTCTTCAGAAGTGATAGGCCTACTGACCAATTAAATTTGTGTGACCGTTTTCTCTTTTAAAAGTGTTAGAATATTTAATTTGCTTTATTTTTATTATATGATATTATATATTATTTAGCCTACATATTAGAAATAATATTTCATTTTTACCCTATCACAATGTTTTGAGAAGATATGTAGTCTATTGCTGTGGTCCTATTTGGATTGTATAATATTTAATGTAAATAAATATGTTAATGTGATAATATGATAATGTGTCCCAGATTATCTGCTTATGAAGTAAATTGTCATGAAGTGAGTGGTTATTGCCATTAATTGAACTTGACAAAGAATGTGTCTGTTTCTGACATTTTAAAGAAATTGTAATCTTTAAACCCTAAATAATACATGTGATTCCAAACAAGTCTTTGTTGACACGTTCTAGATAATCGGCTCTTTGGGATTTGTCAATGAATTTACAATGTAGTTTACATCGTTGCTCCAGTAGGAGGCGACAAGTGGCTGTCTTTATAAGTGAATCATTGAAAAATGTATTTAATCGGTTCGTTCAAAAACGGTGATTCATTCAGGAACGAAACAAGCGACTGAGTGAGTCATTGAATCATTAATTGAATCGATTAGCTCAAAATAGAGAATCAAACAACAACAGCGTTTTACTTGGTGTTGCAACGGTCCTACTGTGGCGTTAAATGGAATTATTTTCTTTCACAGAGTAAGAACAAAGAAAGTTAATGACAACATTATTGTGTCTGAAATGTAAGTTCTTCCCGTAAGAGTGGGCTTGGCCATTTGTAAATTTAATGTGTCTGCTTCCGGTGTCACCTGCTTCCAGCTATTTTTAGCTGTACAACATACCTGGTTTTGCAGCTTGATATTTCACACTGGTGTGTCTTACCATTATTTTAATGTATTATCCTAATTATGAACACACTGGTTTGTAGTGCAAACCGTTTTACCGTATACTGCACTTTGTTATTCTTCTCGTTGTTTCCCTACAGCGGCTAATGAACCAGAAGTCTCGCACATTGACAGAAAATAGCTTACTTCCGTGTTGAAAAATAAGGTGGATAGACCTACAAGCAGTCATGTTTGCAGTCATGTTGTTTTCCCAAAGCACTTCAATTACTTGCGTCACTCGGCGTGCGTCAGCACTCATATAAACACTTGCTTCGAAACTTTTCAGTCCATACCTTGCCAGACTTCTTCCTGGCTTTCCGTCGGAATCGTAATAGTTCTTTGTGTTGCCGTGAAACAAAGTTGACTGCAGCATACTCCAACAGGGCAGAAAAGACAAATAACAAGCACACAGCCATCCAGATATCAATTGCCTTCACGTAAGACACCTGCACGGCAGAAAGACACAAACACATCCGATCTCACATACTTAGCCTTTGCCTTTTCATTCCAGCCTGCATAACAACAGCCCAGTCATTTTATTATTGAACAGCATAGGGATCCGTCAGACTATTGTCCTTATCACAGCTATGAATCATAGATAATTCTCTGCCAGGTGAAAAAATAATTTTTTTCTGGAATGTTTAATTGTGTTACATAACTCAATGTAGCATTTATGAGTTTTTAATATGCAATACACACTGCATGCCAGCTTTCACACATGGATGCACTTTGCACATTTCACTCTGAGCTGCATTAATAAATGATAACTGAGAATGAATGGCAGAAAAAGAGATGTGTAGAAGTGCTAATAGAACTTACACCATTATACTGACCAGCGATTCAGCATCTTTGTTACAAATGTGAATAAGGGTCTTGTTTTAATACCGTATGCACTCTTACCTTAGGTAAGGATGTCCTGGATCCAGAGCTCTGAGTTGTCATCGTGAGCACTGTGGTGATTCCCAGGGCAACACGGGCAGGAGCGGCATCCATGTTGATCCAGAAGGAGACCCAGGACAGGATGACGATGAGCAGGCTGGGAATGTACATCTGGATCAGGTAGTAGCCCATCTGTCTTTCCAGGTGAAAACGTACCTCGATGCATGTGAACTTGCCTAGCAGAAAGAAAAGTGGACAGAGGGTTTTATAAAAAAGTTTTATTTTATTTTGTTTGCTTTAATGCTTTGCTATATGCTAAAATTATAATAATATACACAACTACTGTTCAAAAGTTCAGTAAGATTTTTTTTTATGTTTTCATAATGAGTCTCTTATGCTCACCAAGACTGCATTTATTTGATAAAAATAATACAGTAAAATAAGTTTAATTGTGTTGTTGTTTACAAATTAAAACAACTGTTTTCTGCTTGAATACATTTTAAAATGTAATCTATTTCTGTGATGGCAAAAGGCAAAGCTGAATCTTCAGCAGCCAGTGTCACATGATCCTTCAGAAATCATTGTAATGTGCTGATTTACTGCTCAAGAAACATTTATTATTATTGTTATCAATGTTAAAAACAGTGCTGCTTAATATATTTGTGAAAACCAAGATACGTTTTTTTCAGGACTATTTTATGAATAGAAAGATAAAAAGAACAACTTTTATTTGAAATTAACAATGTAAAAAGTGGTAACCTGCAACTGTTACCTTAAAGGTAATAATCACTTTTATACAGTGTTTGAATACAGTTGTGTGGCCGCAGTGTGTGAAAAAAACCAGCCTATAATGGCAAAAATCCACCTATAATCCGGTAAAGTCCCCTATATTTTTAGGGATCAATACCAACGCTTTGTGCGTGAATGTCAGCTCCACTTGTAAAGTGGCATCCTTGTTTAAAAAAATATTTGAAGGGTATATATGTTAAAGGTGTAATAGGTGATTGTCTTCAGAAACATTTTTTGTTATGCTGGTTGAAAGTCTCTTCACATCCCGATAGCAATCATTAAGTTAAGTGATCTAAATGTATTCATCTGTATTTATATATTCTGTGGAAGGCGTAGGACCAAGAAATGTTCGTCCAATCAAAACGCTCAGTCCGAGCGTTTTAATAAGCTTTCCTACCTACCTCCGATCGATATGATCCCTACACAGTGTTCATTGCTCCCTCCTCACTGAGCGGGGGAAATACGTTGAAGTTTATTTCACTTCGGAACATGGGCTGGAATTGGGAACCGCTGATGTAGCCTATTGTAGTAATGTTGTCTGTGAGTGAGCTTATATGCATTCAGGGGGCGTGGCTTTGGACGGCGATTGCAGGGAGGGTGGGACATTCGCTTTCAGTGCTATCAGGCTAAAGTTAGCATTTTCCAAGATATCCTATTGCGCCTTTAAGTATATCTCAATATCGCAAATTATAAATTTTAAACATTTTCAAATTTTAGGCTATTTAATATAAAGGCCTTTTGGAGAAATTAACACTGTGACAAGTGGTATCCTGCAACTGTTACCTTAAAAGCTTTCTCTACCTGATTGAATCCATAAAAATTAGCTTTGTTGCCATAAGTATTTAGGCTGATTCAGTGATGTTAATATTTTAGACATGAATAAAAACAATACATTTCCTATTTGTTACGTTACAATGTTACTCAAATGTAGGTGAAATATCACAAATATCACAAATACCTGTTTTAGTAATAATGTGTAAATAAGGATGGCATTGGTCAGACATTGCAAAACCATAATGTCTCCAACAGAAAGTGTGCTCATTTAAAAGTAGATATTTATTTCATGTGTGGTTGGTGAAGAGGCATTACAGACGGTTACGTTAAGTAGAGAGCACCTACTTAAAAGGTCTGAGAGCTTTCAGCTGCAGTCTGTCTTTTTTGTTCTCTGCTACTGAGCCTTTTCCTGTCTCAAAACAAATTTCTGCGAGGCTCGTCTTTCCTGAAAAGCAGGGAGATGGCTTTCATTATTTCTGTCTCTTTTGTTCCAAAGTCCCTGGGAGATTTTTGCTTGGTAATATTCCACACTGCCCTGCTCTCTAGCTGGAGTACACTTGGGGAAAAATACACTTAAACTCAATAAATGAATGAAATATCTAAGCCTATAAATGTTAGTTTATTTAGAGCCACATAATGTTTGCTTAAAACTACATATACATGCAATATTTAATATGTGCCTAAACAAGTAGTTGTTAAGGAGTTGTGTAAGAGTGTGTTTGACGCAGAAATGTTCCCTCTGGAATGTAACCTTCTCACTCTCAAACACACACAGTAACGCAAACACACACTTCTAGTCTCCTCGGGAGTTTGGATGGTTGGAGCTGTCAACACTGTAGTTGAGGTGACCTGAGAATAAAACCCCTGAGAGACTAAGTGAGAGAGGTGAGAGAAACAACAACAGGAGGAAGAGGAAAGGGAAAAGAACAAAAACCAGGAGACAGTCTGTGTTATGGAGCCTGACAGCACCTAGCATTCACAGGACAGAAGTGGGATGTGCTGCAGACCCAGGAAACAACACAGCAGAATAAACCATCCTGGGATATTGCAGTGGAATGTATACTCATGTAGACTAATGGATTTAATTTACCTTTTTCTGAGCCGATTTATATATATTGGTGCTGTCAATCGATTAAAACAATTAACTAATTAATCTCAAATTATTTTCTGATATTAATCGCGATTGAATATACTAACATTACATTATAATTGAGAGCTATCGATCTTAACATTTATAAGACTTTAAAACTTCTAATTTAAGTGAACTTAAAACAATCTTTACACAAACACATTATAATAAATGTCATATTTACCTGTGCCCTTTAGCAAGGAAGAAATATACAGAAATGTAATAAAGCTATCAAACACTAAATTCTAAATTAAATATAGATAAATTCTTTTTTCTTTTGTTCTTTGATGAAGAGACATCACAGCAGCTGGGTTATTAGGTTATTTGGCTGCTATTACTTTAAGAGCTGCCGCTACTGAACGTGACGTGGATCTGACACAGGCTACAGCGCATGCCACCGTATTTGTGCGTGCAATTGAAGAGCATTCGCTACGAGTACAGTAGAATGGCTGACAGGGCAGAAAAATTAGTTTTGACTGATATATGGCCTGACAACATCTCATCTGACCGCATTTCACTGATGTTCTACTGGAGCTCCTTGTCACCTGTACCGTTTCTGCACTTGTTTGACTAGCGCCTGGCGCTGAGATGAAGTTGAAGTGCACGTCTAAAAAGTCTCCGGTTTGAAGTGGTTGTAAAGATGCTCTGCATCTAAATTAATGCAATTTTTGCCAAGAAAAGAGACCGAAGCAGCAGTTGTGCGTGGGGTGGTCAACCCTAGCTCCACCCCTGCGTTAATTGCGTTAAATATTTTTAATGCCATTAATCTGGAAAAATTAATCGCCTGTGTTAACACGCTAATTTTGACAGCACTAATATATTAGTGCTGTCAAGCGATTAATTGCGATTAATCGCATCCAAAATAAAGGTTTTTGTTTACATAATATATGTGTGTGTACTGTGTATATTTATTATGTATATATAAATATACACACATGCATGTATATATTTAAGAAAAATATGTTATATTTGTATATTAAATATATGTATATATAATATAAATTGTATACATGTAAATATTTTCAAAATATATACTGTATGAGTGTGTATTTATATATACATAATGAATATGCACAGTACACACATATTATGTAAACAAAAACTTTTATTTTGGATGTGATTAATCGCGATTAATCACTTGACTGTATATATATATATATATATATATATTATAAGCAGTAGTCATAATAACAAGCTCAATTTGGTTTTACAGTGGTAATCTTTTTTTCTGTAGTGAGAGAGATTGTTCATTAATCATAGATGTGTTTTTATGTCTTAAACACATGAATGTCTGTCATATATTGAATGTTGTTGCTTGTTGATTTACATACTGTATATCCTAATCAAGCTGGCTAACATATATGAGGTTTTGCTAAATTGTGTGAATGATTTCAAATAGTGTTAGAAAAATCAGTTAGATATGTTGCAGTCATATGCCATAATTTTCCATCAAAAGTGTGTGCAAGAACCCACATTATAGCCCACTTGTACCTGCCAAAACAAACAAACAAAAAAACGTATTTTTGGAGCTTGGCAGAGATTAATTTTTAGTGCACTGCTTAATTTACATACTTAGGAAACCCAAAGGATCCTCCATCTTTTCACTGACGGGCTTGTTCTGCAGTAGCTCAGGGATGAAAACCCACTGTGACATCACTAAAGCTGTGCCATGTGGTTATTTCACATCCTTCATGACTCAACTGACAGAAGATGCGGGAGCTCTGAGCAAATGTATGAGTGTGCAGACTACATGACAGAGCAGGAAGTCTTGTGTGGCAGAGGAGGAAATGTGTGAGCAATCATGCAGAAGGCCCTGTGTCCATCCTGTCACACTAGAGAGGGGAGATCACATTTAAAGAAGTGTTAATGAACCGATGGTGAAAGTAAAATGTCATTGTAGTGTTTAAAGGATAATGCGATTTTTAACATCTATTGTGCCCCTGTACCCTTTGGTATAAAAACCTCAATGTCATCGAGGGCTGGTTGTATGAGTAATAAGATTCATTATTCTACTTGCTTATCTAACAGATCCCAGACTTATTTTGCAATGTGTAACACCAGCATATAAAACAGTGTAGTATATTTTCATAATGTGACAGACTGACAAATCTGTGGTCTGTCAGTGAATTGAAAGATGTTGAGTATTGAATTATTGATTCCTTACTATATAAATGTAACAGAGGTATGGTGGTTTTCAATCAAGCAGAGATGCCTGTGGCCAATATGCTAAGATATCGACATATTGTATGCTGGACAGTGTGAATGAATACCTCTAAAATGCATTCAAACAATCAAATTGAACTATTCAGCTCCACAGTACAAACCAAACTGAGCCAGCATCATATTACAGTTGTAATCTCACAAAATGCAGATTTACTACCCTGAATTATTTGCATCATACTGTGGTGAACTACCCTTTTATTAGTGCATGAATTGTAGTATTAGTACAGTAATGTATTCTTTGCTACATACATTTGCAGACTAGAGTGGCTTTTTGTCTTGAGGGATCCTTGCTCTTATGCTCTCTCCACCAAGGAATACTCACTCAGTAAGGGGGCCTGAAATAGGTGTTACACCCCTGATGAAAAATATTGTTGGACACTATTGAAGCCAGAGACAGAGCCACTGTACTTGAGAGAAAATCAACTATTTTGTCAGCCCTGATTACATTAGTTATTTGATCTGCTTTGATTGAAAAGTTTGATAGAACAGCAATAAACATAACAGTTTACCAAGGTTTCTTCTCCAGAAGCCTTTTTAAAAGGTTGCTCTGCTACAGTGTTTGTTTGCAGGCTTGGACCTGTGGCCTTTATTGCAGGTGTATTAAGAAAGATCAACAAAGAATTGAACAGTAACTGCCAAAGAGGGAGAGATGAAGAGAGAAAAAAACAAAACAAGAAAATGGGTTAGACTTCAGTAGATGGTAATTGCTTTGGACTTTATACTCATGATGTAAGTAAAATAAAACAACATGAGTGACATTTATAATAATAATTATTTTCATGTGAGTTCATGGCTCTAAATTGCATAGCACATAAGACACATATTATCACATATTACATCTGTCACATGGTTGAATCCTTTTATATATATATATATATATATATATATATATATATATATATATATATATATATATATATAT